AATGTGCACTGAATGCAACAAATGAACGATACAACAAATAACGTTACGAAAAATTAAAGTACATACATACAGCTATACAAACAGCAGGAAAGAAACATCTTTCATACATAGAGATATGTTACACTTTTGTCCATCAACGTTTGTTAATTCAGCTGCAAGACGTAGTGTTCCCTACATTCTATCGAGTTTTTATGGCAAACCTCCCATACATAAAGTGTGTGATTGTTTAATAGTTTAGAACAGCATAACCAAACCTTATTAAAGGTACTAGAAGTACTAGAGAAAGTAAATCTGAAATTAAAACCAAATAAATGCAAGTTTATATAGATACAACTGTATTACTAAGGACACAATATTTCGAGTAAAGGTATAACAACAGATCCTAAGAAGATTTGTTTTATTTTGCAAGTTATTGTGATATGTCCGAGTGTTTTCAATTACTGCCAGTTCATATAAATTTATTTATTTTAAAGTTTTATATAAATTATATAATATTTTATATAAATATATTTATAATACGAAATAAAATTACAAACATGAAGTTGTCTTGTTTTTTATTGAGCAGTGTATTTTCTACTTGTATAAAAGTTGTTGTTTTACATTTGCGGATATGTTCCAAATAATAGTATATTACTCATAATTTTTTCCTTACTACCTCTAATGTCATCTTTAATATCTGGTAGGGTATATTCGCCTTTATTCTTCAATAAATTGTTATTTAAATCCAACGAACTTCACACTCAATTAAATATGTTAATACACTCTGGCCATGATGATGGGTGCGAGTAAATAATAATCCATCGGATCTTAATGTACTAAGCGAGTTAATTTTTAATTGATACGATTTTGTTCGAATATTTATGTACTGGAATATTTACACAATATGCAAAGTCATTATGTGAATCAGGATAAAAAAATACAATCGTATAATCGTTTTTAGCTAATCCAGAAACTATAGAACACTGCTCTTTTATTCTTCATTCTGAAGACGAAGAGATCACACAACTTTTTCTAGTATCATCATTTAAGAAATGCTAGGAAACCAATGTCACCTTTACATGGAGAAAACTGCATAGTATACACTACTGAAGTCGTGGTCAAAGTCATGAGAACCACCCTAGTAAGACAATGTTCCATGAACTACCACGAAGAAGAAGACTCTGACTTTGAGGAGAAACTTGAAGAAGAAGATTACTTCAGAAGTCCGACAGAAACAGAAGATCCACCACTGAAACACATATCCCAAAAAAGTGAGCGACCTGATCCGGAAAATCTCACCAAACAAAGCCTCTAGACCAGACGAAATAACCAACAGGGCTTTAAAATAGATATAGGAAGATATTGCCAAAAAGCACAATGTGAATATTCTGAGACTCCCACCCTATGACTGTGAACTCAATCCCATCGAAATGGTTTGGAGTGAAGTGAAACGGTATATAGCTGGACGCAACGCGAATTTTAAAGAAGCTGAAATGCGAAATTTAATTACAGCAGCTTACCAGGTCATTAAGCCAGAGAAATGGAAAAACTACTTAAAATACATAATAGCAACAGAAAAAATGTGGTAAATTGACAATTTGTTGGATGATATCGAACCAATTATTATAAATATAAATAACGGAGATAGTGATGACAGTGACGATAATAATGATGATGATGATAGTTAAGCAGAAACTAAATGTGACAGCGATTGACAGAAAAAGGAACTAAATATAATGGTGTACAATTACGATTACTTACACACGAAATTAATTACAATGACTTCTTTTAATTTCAACATATTTATTAGTTTTATTTTCGGATATTTCTACGTTTTGTTACTGCCAACATGTACAGTGCGGTTTTTAAAAGTCCTTCTCCCCTTAACTTTTGAACGGAACAATACATAAATAAAATGTTTCGTTATATTTTAATTTTATTTTATTCGATTTTATTTAAATATATAACCAAATGGTTTGTATCGCTAGCACATACTGTAGAATTAAAAATAAACTGCGTGTGTGCCATAAATAAAAGTCATTTCTTAATTTCTATTTTATTTTAATTTAACCCAAGTACGTTATAGCAAATATTATTTATGTTTGAGAACCACTGACAGAAGGAAGCCAGGCAGGGTCGTTAGTGGGCATTAGTACTTAAGCTGCTCTCAAAACAAAAGATGGATTAGGCTAAGTAGTAAGAAGTGACGTTTATTTTAATACAGGTTTGCACAGAAGTATGGCATTGATGATTTACACTGTACAGACAAGTTACTTTGAGACAATCTATAGTTAACCTTATAGAAACATCAGAAAGAAAATTCGAGAGGCAAAAGAGAGGTGGCTCTCCGACAGATGCAAGGAAATAGAAGATCTGGATAAAAAGTACGATAGTTTTAATTTACACAAAAAATCAAAGAAATGACAGGTTCTAGAAAGCGTACAAAAACGAATATCCTTAAAAATGATAAAGGGGATATTATTACTGATATGAAGGAGAGATTATGTCACTGGACCAATTACATTCAACAACTATTTAATGATGAAAGAGAAGAACTGTCATTAGAAATCATCGAGGATACCGGACCACCAATATTAAGAGAAGAAGTCATCTATGCCATCAAAAACACAAAAGAGGGTAAAGCTACTGGACCAGATGAGGTGCCCATCGAATTATTAAAACTCATCGATGAAGATGTTATTGATGTAATGGTTGAACTCTTTAATCTAATATATCAAACTGCCACAATCCCCAGACAATGGCTGCAATCAACCTTTGTAGCAATTCCCAAAAAAACCAAGTTCAACAACTTGCTCAGACCACAGAACAATAGCTTTAATGAGTCACACACTTAAAACATTTTTGAAAATAATTCACAGCAGAATTGTTAAAACTCTTGAATATGAGATTAGTGATACACCATTTGGCTTTAGAAATGGTATGAGTTCAAGAGATGCTTTGTTCGGCTTGAATGTGCTGGCTCAGAGATGCATGGACATGAATCAGGATATGTACTTATGTTTTGTAGACTTTGAAAAGGCATTTGATAAAGTTCAACATACAAAGCTTATAGATATATTAAAAAGCAAAAATATTGACAGTCGTGATCTGAAATTTATATCTAATTTATATTGGAATCAAACTGCTAAGGTAAGAGTTGACAGCCAGTACACCGAAAATATCAAAATACAGAGAGGAGTCCGCCAGGGTTGCGTGCTATCCCCACTACTTTTCAATGTCTGCAGTGAAGCGATATTTCAAAAAGCGCTCTCAGACTCAATATAAGGTATATCTATCAATGGAGAAGTTTTGAATAACTTACGTTTTGCAGACGATACAGTAATAATTACGGATAACAACAATGATTTACAGAACGTAATGCAACGCCTTAATGAACGCTGTCATGAGTACGGACTGAAGATAAATTTGAAGAAAACTAAATGCATGATCATGACTAAATCTGCAGATGCCAATATCCAATTGCCTATTGAAGATACTGCAATTAAGAGTGTTAATAACTTTAAATACTTAGGAACATGGATAACATCAGATATAGACCAAACCAAAGAAATTAAGACACGTATTGAAATAGCACGTACATCATTTATTAAACTTAAAAAGTTTCTTTGTTGTCGGTATATAAGGTTAGAACTACGTCTGAGAATGCTTCGATGTTACGTGTTTTCTACTCTTCTTTATGGTTTGGAAGCTTGGACACTAAAACAAGTTCATCTGAATAAGTTGGCCGCCTTTGAATTTTGGTGTTACAGAAGAATCCTACGAATATCATGGACTCAAAGAATGTCAAACATTGAAGTAACTAGAAGGATAGGAAATGAGGCGGAAATAATATTAACTATTAAAAGACGAAAACTTGAGTACTTGGGACATGTGATGAGAGGGCAAAAATACGCATTATTACAACTTATTATGCAGGTCAAAATCCGAGGAAAGCGAAATGTGGGAAGACGAAGAATATCCTGGCTTAAGCACTTAAGGGAATGGTTTGAATGCAGTAGTGTAGAACTTTTTAGAGCGGCAGTCAACAGAGTCCGCATAGCCATGATGATTTCCAACCTTCGATAGAAGATGTAACTTAAAGAAGAAGAATAGTTAACCTAATAAAAAATATGTATGATAAAAACTCAGCAGCACGTTAAAGTACACGGAATATATTCAAATGCGTTCAAAACAGAGAAAGAAACTAGACACGGCTGCATACTATCACCATTATTATACAACATATATGCGTATTATGAACATATAATGAGCAAACTACTAAACGAATGAAATGGAGGAATCACTATAGGAGGCAGAAAAATCAGCAACCTGTGATACGCAGATGCCAAACTTATACTACCAGCGACTCAAGTCGAAATGATTACCATCACTAAACGACTAAGCTATATAAGCAAAGCATTCGGACTTCAGATCAACACCGGAAAAATAAAAATAATTATGGTAGACAGGACAAGTTTTCCCATTGCTACACACGCAGCTGAAAAATGAACTCATAAAAATCGATGGAAGTAAGATCGAAGCCTTCATGTGGCTCAACAGAAGAATTCTACGCTTGTCCTGGACAGTATAATACACAGAACCAACCTGTGTTGGTTCTATGTACTGTCCAACTACACTGTGTACTAATCTCTGTGGGTTCTGTGTACTGTGAACTAAGATGTTCATATAAAAGACAGCCTAATATATAACTTCCAAAAAATACCCAGAGGAACAGGGACTAAGGAACTATTATTGTAGAAGAAAAGGTAAAATGCGGTATTTAATATATACTCTCCGTACATTGGATACTCGTACTTTAAATAAAAAAAAAATAATAATAATAAAAACTGTACTCGTTCGTTTCACTCTCGCTTGCGCGATTGCGATGCAACTAAAACGTAAACAAAGAAATTGCTAAGACGACGACGCTGTGCTGGACCACCGTGTAAAAAATACATATAAATATAAGGTCGAAGTTTACGTTAAACATTGTTATTAATGAATTCCCAGGCGGCAGGTTAAGAAAATCGCGCGCAAAGTGATGGTTCCTCTAACACTGTTTACGTTCTTAATTTGTAGTGTTATAATCGAATCGGTTTCTTCGGCCGAACAACCGAATGTGATTGTTATTGTTGCTGATGACCTCGTAAGTTTATGCAAAATGTTTAACTACCTGTAGGTACTAAATAAAAAATAATGAGAAACTCTTGTTTAGGCCCATTTTTACAAGTTAGTTTTACATATTTTTATAGTAGAATGTCAGAAGAGAAAATAAAAATTAATTTCTAGGCAGTAAACTCATCAAATGATAAGCTTTCGCTACTTACGATATAACTTTTTGCAATTCCTCGATTTTTATCTATTCTTTTTAGTTCGTTTTCTACTATTTTTCATCTAGTCAATAAAAAATGTCAATAATTCATTTCCGTTATATATGTATCTTTTTAAAATTAAATCATGCATTTATTTAAATCCTTATCTCCTAATATCATGTCATATGTCAAATTTGCTCTTTATTAAACGCATTTATTATTAGAAATTAATATTTCCTGCATGTATTAACAAAATAAGTTGTCTTGTCTTTCAGTCATTATAGTCCAACCTTAGATCTTAGGCGTAATGGTACTCGTAAATGGAGCAATAAACAATTCCTGTGCTGAAACTAATATCACAGCTATTACAAAAATTATTTAGGTGTATGCAAAAACTTACTTTTTGAATCCCTACTTTCAGTCCCAGCGCTAGGAGTAAAGTGCTAACAAAACTGACATAGGCACCCTTCGGATTTTTTTAAATTTAATAATTATATTTATTTATTCCAGCTTTCCATTTATTTATTCTCCTTACATATATATATATATATATATATATATATATATATATATTATATATATATATATATATATATATATATATATATATATATATATATATATATATACCGGGTGGTGAATCGTCAAACGGTCCATAGGAAACTCAATGGGAAATTTTAAATTGTTGAATTGCTGCTTCCCTAATTATTTTAGATCAAAAGTCATAAAAAACTATTTGTAGAGGACTAAAATCTGAATTAAAAGCAAATGTTAAAACCGTTCTACGAATCAAATGTACTTCAAAATTTTGCAAAAATATAGTACATTTTTCAGGCCACCCCTAAAAGTTAGGCCACACGTAATGCAAGAATATATATTAGGACGTCTGTGTTTTATCATATTAATGTCAGATGTTTGACAATTTGAATTGTCAATTTTTTTATTTTATGATTAAATTATAAACAATGAATTTTACTAAATACTACTACTCACGATATACAAACACAAGTACTAATTTACACATTATTACTTTGTGAACAATAAATTATATTGTTTACAAATCGATCAATATAATGAAATGTACTCAGTTGACGAAAAATCGCATAATGTTGTATACAGGCAATAGCGCGAACCTTTTTCTGCCACTACCGGATCTTTATTTAACGTAAGATATTCTAATTCACTAAAATTTAATTCCATGTTAAGTTATACAACAATGTAATGAATTCCAATATGCTGTTACTGTGATCTTTATTCCTAATAATAATATATGATAATTTCTAAACATAAAACTATAACAAATGTTATAATAAAACATGAATAAAACATTTTTATTATTGCTTTTTTCTCCTCAACTGAGTACATTTTTTAATCAACTTATTTTTTTTAACAATAAATCACAAAATTTTGGCCATTTAAATCATAGATAAATGTAATATAATTGATTTAAATATTGTCAAATATCAGAAACAATAATATGACAAAACGCAACACATAATACACATTTTTTCACAGAAAAATGTATTATATTTTAGCAAAATTTTGGAATACATTTAAGTCGTAGAATAATTTTAACAGTTGTTTTCGATACATATTTGAGTCCTCTACAAATAGTTTCCATGACTTTTGGTGTAAAATAATTTGGGAAGCAGGAATTCAACAATTTAGAATTTCCCATTGAGTTTCCTATGGCCCGTTTGACGATTCACCACCCTGTATATATATATATATATATATATATATATATATATATATATATATATATATCTATTGAACTTAATGCTAGACTATCAAGTCTCGTCTGTGTCATGGTTGTTCTTAAATATGTTTTAATTAAATTTTAAAAATGAACGTTCGCCACTATAGACAGTCCATCGAGCAAAAAGATAAAAGAGGGAATGTAAAGGTAGTGGGAACAAAAATATTGTTAGACAGGAAGTGCTATCTTGAGAGGCCACTTTAAACAAGGAAAGACAGTCTCTTTCCTTGTTTGAGAAGTCAAATTTAGTTTGGTTATTATTTGTCCCAACTGTCACATAAAATTTTATTTATATTGAAGTTTTTTACCAATTGTGTCACTTTTTAGACTATTATAGTTAATATTTAATTAAAACTTTCTCGTCTGAAAAATATTTAATAGCTATTGTTAATAAGTGTTGGAAAATTTAAATTTAGCGCCTTTGCATTTCCGGATATGTCCTCTATCAGAGGCCACTTTTTTGATCTCTTTTTCATAACGATTAGATTCCCTCTTTTATCTTTTTGCTCGATGAGACAGTCAGATTTCAATATGAAGTTCAACCATAAATTTTTCTCTTATGCCTTTTAGTCTACTGAAAATATCATATGAGATAAGCAAAAAAAAGAGTGGCATTTGGGGAGTTCCCATACAAGTAAATACTACTTAGGGTGTGTTATTACCATATAGGGTAGGGTAATGAAATTTTATGTCTGCTAATTACTAAATTGTTAATATTTTTTATAATAAAACTATACATTAAAGTTATTTCAAATTAAAAATATCTAATTTTTTTAATAAACATTTTCTTTCTACTGTTAATAATTTTTAAAACTTGTTAAATGTAATAATGAAATTATTCAGTATATACAGTTTTATTAATATTTATCTAATTTCTTATAATTATTTATAATTTTTTATAATTTTAATAATTTTATTTAATTTTTAATAATTTGAATAATTTTTAATAATTGAATTGCATTAAATTTTATTTAATTTAATTTATTTTTTAAATTTTTTTAAAATTTTTAATATTTTAAAAAAAAATTAATATAATTTTATTAAATTTTATTTAATTTTATTTAACTTCATTCAATTTTATTTAATATCATTTATTTTTTTATAACTTGTTATAATTTTTTAATAAATTTTTTAATTTTTTATAATTTTTTATAATTGTATTTAATTTTGTACAATTTTAATTAATTTTACTTAATTTTACTTAATTTTTCCTAATTTTATTCAATTTAATTTAATTTTAGTTATTTTTCTTTAATTTTATTTATTTTATTTAATAATATTTAATTTCATTAAGTTTAATTTAATTTAGTTTATTTTATTTAATTTTAATATAATTTAATTTGTTTCATTTAATTTTATTGAATTTTATTTAATTTTATTTAATTTTATTTAATTTTATTTAATTTTATTTAATTTTATTTAATTTTATATAATTTTATTTAATTTTATTTAATTTTATTTAATTTTATTTAATTTTATTTATTTTATTTAATTTTATTTAATTTTATTTAATTTTATTTAATTTTAATTAATTTTATGTAATTTTATTTAATTTTATTTAATTTTATTTAATTTTATTTAATTTTATTTAATTTTATTTAATTTTATTTAATTTTATTTAATTTTATTTAATTTTGATTAATTTTATTTATTTTAATTAATTTTATTTAAGTTTATTTCTCAGATGGAATTAAATCTCAGGGGAATTTTAGGGAGTAGCTCGAGGGTAAAAGTGGTAAAGTTTTTTGTATCCTTTTTGGGGTCTAAAAAATTAATATTTTCGGAAAAATTTAGCTTTTGCATGGTTTTTTGAAGTTCATGGCATTTTCGTCTCTGGCGACTGGAGTATAATACTATAATAAAAATTCAATATAATACTCTACAATACATTTAACGTTTTCAATGCTATCTAAACTAATATTATAAATGTAATAGAAATTATTGTTCGCTATCATTGTTTCGCTAATAGCCAATTTGTTACAAAAAATACAATGTGTTACATTAATTTTCACATACTTGTCTCTTTTCATTTTCTTTTTCATTTATTTTTTTAAAATTGAATCATGTATTTTCTTCTTCTCTTGAATATTCCACTTTTTTACAGCATCATCCCTTTTTGGTTGATTGTCTATTATCACAGAATAATAAACAAACAGAATATCCACTCTCCACGGAAAATTAAGTACGCGCATCTCCTCCGCGCAGACGTTCCGCCATGTTTTAGGAGGATTTTAAAGAAATTAGTGTTGTTTATGTGGTGTGCATGGAAAAATTAACCAGGTTTATTTGACTTACGGCAATCAAAGACATACAATACAATTATATTAACATTGTTAAATATAATAACATAAATATAATATAATTAAACATAAATATAAACAATTACATAACCACACAAATCATATGTCTGTGTCCTCCTAAAACATGGCGCGCGTGCTGAAAAACTTCAAAGGCGGCATCTGAGAGTGGCCCTTCTGTTTGTTTATTATTCTGTGCTATTATCTTTGCCCATACATTATATTTTGCATCATCATCACTCACAAAATTATTTTATTCTTGTTCAAAATAATCTATTAAACAAACAATCAGCTCTCTACAGCGATTATTCAGCTGTTTTGGCATTTTTCGAACATAATCACAATTCACAACAATAATTAGTTTTAAATATATTAGTTATATTAATTATGTATTTATAAATACAGTTTATTAAAGTTATATATTGCGAATCAAATTAATACAGATCAAAATAAAAATAAAAAAAAAGATTGTAAATTATCTTCAACGCTATAAATTAACGTCAACAATTTTAGCTGTGTTAGGAAAATTTAAATTTTAAGTTGATATTATGGAAATTTAAAACACAAGTGACGTCAGTTTGTATAAATTGCTGAGTCGAAATGATTTTAGCGTGAAAAATACTATAGTAAATAACAATAGCATATATCTTGCAGTCTCTTTTGATTGGCTTCATAGGCATATATTGCTTCAGTGATTATGTTCCTTTAAAACCGACCATACTTTCATCTATTGAGAGATGCCTAGATGGTGTAAAATCGGACAAAAACTTAGCTTTTA